GCTCTATTGATAACGATATTCTATAATGAATAGTTGAGTTCATTTTCCATTATGACTGTAGCTAAGTAAAAGCTGTTAATATCACCACAGGAAATACGCAATATCCTACTACTGTCTTATAAGATATTGTCATATCCAAGTATTAATTTAATTTTTTCCGAATTTTATCGCAAATGCGAATTTGCAACAGTAATATAATCACACAGGTTCAGCTGTTTCAACCAAAATTCAATTACAATTCGTCTCACTGATATTTTTGGCGTAATCTTGGTTTTTTAAAATATTGTCTTACTATAAGATAAATAAGTCAACGTATTTACGTTATCAACAGATCACATCTATAGTAATATCTATTTTAATTATCACTCGTAGATAGGTTATCAACACAAAAAATTTTACTGCTAAAATAATTCAAATTGAAGTATGTTAAAATATGGCAATGTCAGTTATTTCTTTTCTTGGATTTGTTTAGAATTTTATTTAGATTTGTAATTTTAATCTATACCAGAAACCTGAAGTAAGCACTAAGGAATTAACATTAGTCAATGAGTTGACTGGATTAATTAATTTTAGATCAGATTCTGTAAGATGTATGAAATAAATTTATGATGATAATAGGGTTTGTAGTCTAAAATAATAGTGATCATAAGCGTGATCGTTAAAATGGTAAATCTCATTTACTGTAATTAGTACCCGTATATCATCTTGTTAATACTGCAGTCCTTAAATAAGTAAATATTGTTATGATTTTTTGGCTCCATATGAATTCATATTGCTAATTGCATGATTTAAAATAATAAATAAATAATGCAATAAAAGATAAAATAAGAACTTCATATCATTTTATCTTGTAACGTCAAAATAAACCTATTTTCCATAATGTAATCATAACATGGAAATAATGTCGTAAAATATACTAGCTGTAGCAAATTTCATCTACTGCATGCATCAACCGAAAGTAGCCTATCCTAAGGAAAAATGTATCCTGTTAATTTTTAATATCGTCACCGAGGAAAATAACAATTCATGAACAACAGCTTGTATGAACTTACGGTAGTCAATTAAGGTGAATAAGTAGAACACACTAACAGTTACTCACGTTTGTTATTTTTGTCGTATGATTCATAAAAATATCATATATAATATCATATTATGGATGTTTATATAAAATATTTCATGTTAATAAACAAGATATCGTTCTAAAGTCCATTGTATCTAGTCTTTAGCGTACAGTATAGTTGATGATTGTTTTTTGAGGAAAGTTGTCGAAAATACGGTGCAATAAGAAGAGGCCAAAAATAGAAAGTAGAACGATCAAAAAAAAACCTAATGCCATCTTGTACTTGTTGTAGCTAAACAACTTAAGAATTATTAAAATCCAAAGCGTATAATTAAAAAATTAAAATTATAATGTATTACATAAGATTAACTTATCTTTTAATTAGTAATGAAGACATAAGTTACAATACAGTAATAGAAAGAAATATGAACACTTGATCACATTAATAGCTGAGTTAATTTAAAGTCGACGAATATGAGTTTCAAAATGACATTATTGATTAGTCACAAGGTGAGAGAATAAGTTGTTATTATTTCATGGAAACATAATCCGGCCAATGAGTCAACTTAAAAGATGAAAGGAATTTAATAAAATAGTCATTTTAACTATTGATAACGTAATTGAATTGTCATTAAAGTGAATCAAAATAAAATCTAGATTAACATGCAGATGAATAATTCACTATCATTTGTCATTATTAAGGTAACAATATGCAATTAAACTGTGATGTAACATCTTCTTATTTAAAAAGAATTGCCTGCAATCCAACTGTTTTCATTCTCTATGATCATCGCTAGATAATTGTAGGCATTTGATCAGCAATTAATTTTACTAGATATCTTACGAAAGAAAAATAAATTTTATCTTTTCCCAATTTGATGAAATGGATTAAAATCGTTTTATTGATGATGGGGGAAATGATAGACTGAATTCGTATGGCAGCTGCCACACGTCTCTTTCGTTACCATATGTTTTATTATATTTTAATCATCTTATTTCTTTCCATCTGGTTGCCGTTGACCATTATTCTATATTTATTCATCTTTTGATTTCTTACCCCCTAGTGTTAGCTAAAAAAATCAAGGCGGTTTCTTTAACTGTAAGCGCCACTAAATTGATATTTAGTTAAAAGCTATTGAATTTATTCAAGTCAAATAGTCTATTATAAATTTGAATTATCTCATTATTACTTGGACGTGTGTGCTTGCCTATGGAAGTGTGTAAAAGCGTGTAAGGTTAATCTATCTGTCATCATTAAGGATTTGAAGATCAATCAATCAATCAAATTATTCACGTCATGATCTTGCTTTTGTCACATACTATTATCGAAATTATAATATTATTCATATTAACAATCTAGCTTTTCTCTTCCGTCCATAACATAGATTTTGTAATTTGAGATTTATCTACTGTAATACTTTTTTTCACTTAATCCTATTGAAAACATGATCAGTTTAGATTTAAAATAGCTTACTACCGGTATTGACTTAAAGCTAATGGAAATCATTAGTAAATTAAGACATCTACGGGTAAGCCGAAAAAACAGATATATCAACATTAATGACTTATAAACGGAAGGAAAATTCGCAGATGGAATGACCCCTCCAAAAAAATAGATGAAAACAACATTACCATTGTTCATGATCAATTCAGTATCGTCATCATATTTCTATTTGGGGATTGTTATATAAGATCGGAACGGATGAAGAATCGGTTGTATTATCTCATTTCAAGATAAAGCAGTGTATAAAGATAGAAAATGATGGAAAGAATAGAAAATTATACAAATAGTTAATCTATTAGTTCAATCGACCCAAGTTTGAAGTTAACATTTGCATAACTTGATTTATTTATTATCCTGATAATACCGTAACAAAATAGAATTAATTGAAAAGCACTTGACACATGGCTACAGACAATAGAATAATAGGAAAGCAATTTAGTCAATGGTCATAACAATGGTCAAAGTAGATAATTGACATGTAAATAGTCGTCAGTTAGTTTTGTTTGTTAAATCTAATAACAACAAAACAATTAATCTGATTAAGCTTTTTGAATGTGGACTAACAAGTCTAGTCTATTCGCCGAAGATTAGTATAATTGAGTGATTTACTAAAGACTTCTCCTAATAAAGTAGGGTTACACTTAAATAGGAGATAACGGGATAAATTTTATTAGATAATATTGTATGAACATGTCATAACAATAGATTAATGTATCATCAAACAAGTATAGTTAACAAAAGCAGGGCACAAATCAGTGATTGGAATAGAAGTCTGTACTGCTAGGAGGTGGCTTTGTCTTTTAATTTAATTACATTTGACAATAGTGCAAGTAGCATTGTGTACGTGTTTGTAGGTTTTCAATCGAGAAAGTTTTTTTCAATCCAAGAGTCTTTCAACTGTCTAGATCGATAGTTGGATTAATTAAAACAATAACCAAATTAGAAAAGAATAGAAAGGGGATACATAAATACTTTACACATAGTCTACTTCCATTTCATACTCGGATTATCAGATAGTCAGCAAACCTATCCTGTTCCTTTGGCTAATTTAATTCGTGACCTAAAATATCGCTACTTTTTAGGTAAGATTTTATTTTTTTCTGTCATTGGAACTTATCATCATTTTTATCATGACTACGTCCGTGTGCACTGTGCTTAAACTTGCTTAAATTTTTAAAGTTATCCTCCATCTTTATACGCTTGAAATATTACAGTATTTTGGAACTACATTTCGTCTGCAGGAGATTTACATTTGTTGTGATTAACAGTATAAGTTTGTGGTAATAGCAACCGTATTTCACATATTGTTCATGAGAAGAAAGGATTTCTTTCAGTTTATCGGTTACATGATCTTCTCTATGAGCCAAAAAAATCTTGGCCAACTTTTTTAAGTAATTCTAATACTGCTAACTTAATACCGAGAATCTTTGATCGAATAGTTTAATCAGTACATATATAATGACGGATTTAATTTTAATCAATGCAATTATTGGATACATGTCTACGACAACATACTATAGAAGTGTACGTTGGAATATTGGTAGCACCAAAGCAGAAATGATTTCATTAGATAATTAAGTTGGCTTCTCAATATTAATCAGACGATAAATTAATTATATACCATTACTACTATTAGGCGGGGATAGAAGATATCTGAGAATATCTAGTCCTTTTGATGATTGACTTTAAATTTGTGCTGATGATTACTTCTTGCGTCTTCATATTTTCAATATATGCCTAGTTTCGTGTCGTATGTATCAAATTGTCCACTTAATAAATCTATTGATTTTTAATTGATGGAGCTAACCATGGCAATTCATTACCGTAGCAAAAGCCTTCATCATACTAGTATATCGCTATACCAGCTGATGGTTCAAAGTAGTACCGTAGTGAGAAAAAACTTCCAAGCTGATCGAATAGTACCTAAAACAACAAAACATATCCTGTACAGTAATTAAAATGGCGACTAATGTACCAAGCGGTACCCATTCTTGGCATGAAGAAATAAATTTAGAGATAATAACAATAATAATTGATAGGCTAAGCTATTTAGCAAATTGAAAAAACCTGATCACCAGGTTAATACAGAAAAGAATGTGCAATTCTTCCCATTTAACAAATCGGTTAACCACTGCACATAGGGTATATTATACACACTACAGCACAATGTATATTGTATTCTATTAATGACAACCATATTACAGTAAATGATGATATCTTGTTTCTATGATGAGTTACATATTTGTCAAGGTGTATGTTAGAATCTTTTCGAGGGAATTACATAACTACTGCTTACGGCTAATCTTCTAACTAAAATAATCTTGCTTTGCATTATTAAAGAGATAAATCCTTTTTCTATGTTGTATAGATTCTAATCTTCATATCTGAAATTATTTCCTATCAAGAACAAAGATGAAAAATAGCGACAAGCAACAACGCTCACCTAAATGTGCTCGCTGCCGCAATCATGGGGTTATTTCTATCTTAAAAGGGCATAAACGTTATTGCCGTTGGCGCGATTGTACATGTGCAAAATGTATCCTGATTGCAGAAAGGCAAAGAGTTATGGCTGCTCAAGTTGCGTTAAGGCGACAACAGGCACAAGAAGAAAATGAAGCAATTTACTTTAATTCAGCATCCAGTAATGCCACTAATACAGCCGCAGCATCTAATATCCTCCCTTCGATCAATCACGATGGCAGCCATTGCCGTCAGGATAAAGAATCTATGGTGATCCATCACGGAATGAAACGCTTTAAAAGAGCAGATAGTCAAGATCATGATCGTCATGGTAAGTTAAACTTAGTAAGGTATAATAAGTAATCATCTTCAATATTAATCAGTAATGTATGTATTTATGACAAAATAGTTGTTAATAATTATAAGTTAAGGTATAAGCTATATACTGCTATGTATTGGCCTGATTCCTGTTAGTAAATGCGACAATGTTGTTCAAATAGCTATCCAAGTAAATATGTGATGATGATGAACCGAAGTACTACTTTTAATGCGGTTAAAAAAATATTTCCTTCTGAGTGATTGCTCTATCAGTTGAAATATCGGGGGTAAAAGTTTTCCTCAACCGAAGTCATAAATGAACATATTTACAAAAGCATTTCGTTGAGGAATTCAGTAAAGAGAATTTATTTAAATTTGGTAACTGAAATACATAATCACTGCACTTTAAACCTATCCTCGTAGTGTATTTACAATATTTACTTTTCTTAGTCATTAAAACAGACTGTAGAATAGCTTTAGTTTAATAATCATTTTTACTTAAATCAGTGCCGTCGGCTTTCATGACTGAAAGAGAGTTACAAATTTAAAGATTTTATTAGTATGTTGCCACATATTAAAGCTAACGCACACGTCTTAGATAATTTCAGTCGACCCCCTCCGGCCTTACTATTGAGCTATAACAATTGCTTGGCATGTTTTCAAAAGAAATATAAAACATCATTTGATTCTTCTTGCTGGTACCGCGTGCTGCAAGTCGATTGAAATAATAATTATCCCCTATGGCATCTAATTCAACATTACACAATATTGTCATCATATCTTGATTAATGACGATAAAAGTATCAATCATATCTACTTTTTATACTATGTTAGTAACTTTTTCCTATTAATGATGATAGTTCATACTTACTGATAATACTAAGATTGGAAATTGATGTTTAGTCATCTATTATTTAGCAAGGTTATAAGTCAGGTGGGCTTAAGTTAACATCGTTGCCAATGTGGGTATATATTGTTTTACAATTTTTTTTATCTGATTCATTATATTCATTTCCAGTATGAAATAAAATTATATTAATACAATGAGTCAAAGATCTTTCCGTAGGTCGAACTGACTTCGTAGAGATAGGGAGGGAGAGGAAGGGGAAAAGATATTATTAGTGTTCCAAGGCTTTCCGACTACCTTATCGATGATGCAAAATATTACTCATTTCTTTATGGTTTATATATAATTTAGTTGATATTACCACTATTTCGTCTGAGAAATATTTTTGGTTATACAGCTGCTACAATACTCCTAATTGATACGTCAAGTAGTTTATAGATGGTGCGATAGGAATTGGATTGGTATACCGTTTAGTAGTATATGTTGTTCAGACTATGAAATGTACCTTTATAACCTGCAAATTACTATAAGAGAATCATGAAATCATTGCTGTTAAACATTTTCGCCAGAATTATGACTACTCTCGACAGCAGATAAGAATAGATTCAGTTTTTCACCTTGTCAACTTGTTTATCGTTAATAATAATAGTGATTAGAATAAAAATTAAACAACTACAGCGGTTAACCATTGCAATCATTTTACGCTTTTCGGCGCTTCTGCCATATAAGATTTAATTCGCTGTCATTAATCCATTCTTATATCATAGCTTAAATCAAGTCAACTTTCTTAATGAGCAGAGTAGAGAAAGAATAATCTAGATTTATCGGTTTGACGGATTTAAATTTAAAAAACTGTGAAGTAAGTGCGTTTAGCCTAGTAACTAAACTTGATTGAATATTTAAAGATCTACGGAGACCTAGTAATACATGCTATTACTAAACCAGACGTTTAAACATACAGTGTATATTAGAAAGCAATAATTTCAAAATTTTCCAACGCAGTATTTGTGGTTCGCCCTCCCTTTCTAATATCCTTCTAATCCTACATAATTCTCTGAGATGATCGTTTGTTATTTTCAATCAACTCTGATACTCTGTTTAATTAAACAATGCGGTAGAAAACAATCATAGACCCCGTCAAGTTGGCCAGACAATCGAGTAGAGTTTAAATATTAATATAAATTGGATTAAAGGATTTAAATTTCACGTACATTGTTTATGATTATTTTGCTTGTTCCACCCGTTTTTCCTATACATTCTTCTCGTACATTGACTTACAAATCAGTTTATCATGTACGTATTCATCAGCCAGAATAAATTATATCTAAAGGATTAAACGATGAGTACTAGATATCGACCATAATTCATATCTCAATTGTAAGTTGTAAACTATCTCAAATATTACTATGAAACTATAAGAACAGATTAGATAAAAGCAGATCGTTTACTTGAATGAAAAGATTATTTGTCTAAACAGGTAAGAAATTGATGGCGTTAGGGCAGCCACACGATCTAGAACAACAAAATGTCGTATAAATTTTAACTTCGTCGATCAGCCTGAGGTGATATTCAAACACAAATGATCAACAATCTCTCGACAATTGTTTTACCAGGTGGTTAAACTTAATCAAGACAACAGAGACAACATTACGTAAATTATACTTGCTATTATTTATTATATAATTAAGCCCTAACAATAAATCAAAATAGACACTATTACTTCATTTGTGATAGTTTTCACAGAGGCCTAGGGGTGGAGTATACACACATTACCGTAGCTGCTGATTATCCATTTTTCTATAGTTATAGACATATCCAGTAAAAGTATGTCATAGCGATCATACTGTTGTTGCACAATTCATTTTAACTTAGCAGAAAAATTAATGTAGTAAGACAGTCAAATGTTATGCCAATTAAATATGTTATTAGTCTAATTTTTAACCTCAAGAAATTTCTCAGTTGTAGTCTTAACCGTAATTGTTAATAACCCTGGTTGTTAAATATTACCCTTGAAAGTATGAATATCATCATATCAGATCATAAAATATATTGTATAGATAGTAGATGACTTCATTTCTCTTGTGAAATTACGACAACGTTGCTGTTGTTGCTGTTATAATTATATAATTTATTGTGGTTGTTCTGCCTTTAACAATAGTGTTGTTAAAGGAAATTGCAATGTAGTTACTTTGAATAGTAATATCGATACAATTTCAAATTCAAAAGTTTTCTAAACAGTACCCTTACGATAAAAGAATCTACATTTTCTCGAATATTTCTGTCCTTAAACTAGATTAGAGTATGATGCAATCATCTTGGGATATTGTTTGCGATTTGAAAGTGGTTACAACATCAAGTAATTTTTTCTTAAAAATAGAGAGGGATAAAAATATGTTTTATGGACAGTAATAATTAATCTTTGATTAGTTTACGCTAACTGTCAAATATTTTCATATACTGCTTTATACCGCCACTTATCGCTATTTTGCTACGTCTTACTAGTGTAAGACGAAAAAAAGAAGGAAAAATTTCAATAACACCGGTGTTACTTCGACCGTGACCAACTTTTGTCCTTTCGGTCCTTTACCGTTTCGAAATGTAGTTAATACTAGACTAAGTTACCGTGGTTGAGAATTTAAACGAGGTACGGATACTTTTCAATGACTAAAATCAATTTATCGCACCAATAGTATCTGAAGGGATTTATAATGGTAAAATTAAAGCTTTCTCTAAAGTCTATGAAATGCGAACGTTAATTAATATGAAAGAGTTCATAATTAGAGAAAAAATTGATAGCTAATGGAGATTATACTTAATTTAGGTCAATTATAGTATAAATCATTTTATTAAGCGTTAAAATAGCTATATAAGATGTGTAATTACATCATACAAAGAAAACCTTATTTCATAAATGGTCAATTTAAAATGACGGCAATCAATTGATTTGAGTCTTTACAATCCTTAAAGTTACTATAGTAAGAAAGATGGATATCGTCTAAAACTCTTACTGTCCCATTAGAGTAGGCGTAATGTAGATGTTTGCTATGTTAGTTGTGGCTAGCCTCTTTAACAGCTCCATTTTATGCTCTATCGAAAAAGTAAGCATGATTTTGATAGTTTTATACTAAAGTACCATCACAATCAATTGTATTCGTAGCTGACTGATGTAATCAAATTCTTCGCTTTCTCCGTTAGCTATTGCTACGCTTAGTACGCGTAGCAGATAGAATTTGGCTGTAAATTCTAATTCAATCGACAGAATGAATGTTTAGAAACATTCAGTTAAAGAATGCAATTCGCTGATACTCTATTTTGACTCATTAAAATAACAGTCTGAACGTATATAACATTATACAATCAAATAGTTGTCAAACAATACTGTTGTATACTAATTGTTTCTTGACATCGCCGCCTTTCTTTCTTTCAGCTTTTGTATGCCTGTCTTAACGGTTAGCGTGTTGTTGTCAACGTCTAACCAATATACTACCATCTATAGCCTGTCTCGATAAAAGCTATAGAAAGTAATTATTAATCCATCTCTATTGTATCGAATCATTTTGCTATTGCACAAACAAATTACCGAAATTAAGCAAATGATAAACGAATTGACTACTGTTGACCAAGTCGTAAAAAAATCGACGATATTCTCTGGACTGAAAATTATATATACAACACTACTAGCATGCCATCTAATACCCTTAATCACATATGACTCTATTCACTACTACTGTATTATTGACAGCACAAAATTAGAATGGCCCTGATTTGTATCTTCTTTCTTACCAGTATATCTTCGTTGCGATACCGTTTTCTTATTGCGCTACTGTGATATAAGTTTAAAAATAATAGGAGAAATTATTCAACAATCTCCTTCTTAACATAGCTTTTCTACCTGAAACTACTAAACTGAAGGTAGCATTCATTATTCTTTTAATCCTATTCCTTATATATATATTATTTTAATTTGATATGATTAGATTTAAAACGCACTCGTTTAAATGATAAAAGCGACGGGAGTGACGATGAAAAGATAGATAGCGACTACTCAGATGAAAGTTCTACCAAGGATAGAAACAATTCAATTCTGTCACCTCAGCAGCAAACTAATGGAAATGGTGACAACAGCAATAGTAGCAAGTCCGATTCTAAAATGACATTGATGAATGGAAGTATGTTAGTTGGTGTCAACGGTGAAAATCGATCTCATGATTCTCCATTGAATGTTCTGTATCGTGTTTTTCCTCATCGCAATCGTAGTTTTCTTCAATTGATATTACAAGCTTGCAATGGCGATTTAGTTCAAGCCATCGAACAAATTAGTCGTAGTCCAATTAATCGTGGCTCCGGTTTACCACCATCGCAGTTGATTTCACCAACGACAGCACCCTATTTGGCTTCTTCATTTGTTCCACCAACATCCTTATCAGCAAGCAGTCAACCAATGCGGTTATCTTATGGATCGGATAGTTTACTAACGATGGTGAATCCAAGTTATCCACCCCATCTGCCGCTAAACAATTTTACTGGATTTACATCACGCGATATGCAGTCACAGCAAGTTTCTCATGCCTCGCAAGGTTTGCATTCACGCAATTGTTACCTTTGCAACCTTTATGGGCAACCAAAATAATATTATTGAGCATTTGATTAGAAAAATTGTACGAGTATCTGCAATTTATACTTTGTATTATTCTGTATAGTTCCAGGCCTAACAGCAGCAATGATGTACTGAAATCAACAAAAAGTGATACACAGTCATCCAAATATGAATATTGAAATGAACGAATTTATTACCGGCGTGGAAGAACAATCCAAAAATCGCTTAGATTTTACTCCAATACAACCAACTTATCTTACAAATTTCTTAGTTTAATTAATTAGTCATAGCAAGAATGTATTTAGCGCTAAATGCTGATATCAATGAAATTTTATGATAGTCTTATTATTGAGCTGATTGGATTTCTAGTAATATTAGCGGTATAGTTATAATAGTATTTAAGCATATCATTAGTACAGATTGATTCCAGTTTACGATAATGGGTACTGTATAATAATTATATAATTATCGTATCGGTTTTATATATTCTCTACAGAATATGATGGTTTTCCTTTGCCGGTATTTTATGGCTTAAGTTAAGACATTGGTGTGTAGAGCCGTAGTCATACACATCTTTTCCTAAATTAGAGAATGGAACGCTGAATATTAACGCTTCTGTCATCAGTTTCAGCGCTGATGTGGCAAATCTTTTGAAAAGTCACAGTCACTGTGTAGTGTGTGCAGTCTAAATAATAGTCAGTCATTATATGATTATATTGCAATATCTGTCTATCTTTAAGTGCTAGAATAAGTTGAAACTGAGTGATTCTGCTAACTTTTTTTCATCAAATACTTCATTTTTATTAATATATTGCAATAATCCTGGCATGCAATGATTATTTTAATCGAATTTAGTTATAGCAGTGGAATTATAGGAAATGCCATTGGTTTCGTAATTGTTATCAGCTTACGTACCGTAACCTATATACCATCAATAATTCTATTAGGCACTGGATTTTTGCCATCTTATCTAGAAAAATTGATAGATTTAGCCCTTGATTATTATGTTCGCATTAATTATGGTGCCAATCGACATAAAAGTTTGTCAATCCTTGTAATATACATATGCATTACCTTATTCATTTATATATATATATATATATGTATATGTATATATGTGCATATATATATATTGACGGCCAATATATTTATCTTAAATATTATCCGAATATTTATCTGTATACAATTATATCTACCACAGTACAAGCTAATATACTCATCTATCTCATTTGAACATGGTTTTCTTTTAATCATATTATATTAACTATCATTTCTATTATTGCTGTTTCTCGGCTACAGCAATATAGCCAACTATAATCTGATCAAATGACTACCCTTCTATTTGCCATTTGATCACTTTAGATCATAATAAAAATATCAAATTAATTAAATTGCTATCAATCATTTCAATTATATTCCAAATAGATAGTACTGGTTAGGATAACTTTGATAACATAACATTAAATAATGCAATTATTGAAATATAATGGTAATCAGTATGATAAGGAAACATATCCTTAGTATAATACGAAATTAAGTGGGAAGACGTAGACATTAAGCTAAATTTATTATAATATTATCTACCAGGATCTTAGCTTGCAAAGAGTGAGTTTATAGCTAGCACTTTATTCTTACTATCTAGTATCCTGGATAACTCAAAAAACTGATGATTTTATCGTTATCAAAGAAGAGACCAAGCCACATCTATTTTCGATTGATAATGGTTAAAAACTCATTCATTACAGGAAGTTTACAGCTATATGGTACAGCAATGGTGTGCTATAGACTACAGTAAATAGTGAAGGAGAGTTGTACGTATAAGAGCATTGAGTTCTAATTGAAATATCGGCTGCAAGAAGAAGGAATAGCTTCTCCATAGTTTAGAACACAAGCCAAATATAGTTTGTCGTGTATAGCAATTACGGTTTCCGATATTTTCTACAGTCGTTTGCTATTACATAGCCTGTTATGGTATATGTTGTATCTAATCCTTCAGTGTTGTTTTCTAATTGATTCATATCCTCTCACTCCTTCATCATCTCACACAATTTAGTCTAGCCTTGCAACACGCGCGATTGCTGCTTTAACATTACCTTTCCTAAGTAAGCAAATACATATATTCCGCTGTTCTTTCTCTCACTATTTTCCTCGTTCACATACTACCTTTCAGATTATAATGGCTATTGCTGACCTACACCCAAGGCTAGAAATCAATCTCACAGAACCCTCAACATCACAATAAGCACAGGATTTCGTATAAGGGAATTACTCTGACAGTGAGCAAGTTGCAGATGACACAGCCACAACAGCAAATTAATATTGTAAAAGTCTTAAAATAGTAACTAAATATACTTCCTTTTTAGCCGTTGGCCAGGAAATTAGATTTAATGAAAATATAAATCAGGGACTTGGTTTATCTTTTCTAGTATTTTAAATTTGCCTATGTTCATTTCATTCTTAAAAGTATGTACGGCAATTGCGCACTAATTTGCCTCAGGATAATTTTTTGAAAATTCTTTGCTGTAATAAAACTATAGCTGAAAAATTTTATCTAATTTGCATCGTTGACTCCAATTAAGCTGTAATGTTTTTAGTCGATAAATAATAGAATTAATAACATGTCAAGGGTAAAGCGAAAATATAACTTATCTGCCCAGATCACATGTCGTAAATATCAGGGCTATTTACCTCAAAAGAGCAAACAATTGCAAATTTTGCTTAAGTTCGGATTGAAATATGTCAATATAACATATAATACTACTTTCGAACCTGTATTATTTAACCCATTCGTCGGAATTTAACTTATTCGAGCTATTCATTATATAGTTAGTAAACTACGGACAGTGCTGATGAGTGAAGTTCTGTAAGCAACTCTGTAACTGTGTCTATTAAGATTACTTCAAAGCTATGAGATATTTGTCACCGTAATCAAAATCGTAGTTGCGGTGGTAACACTGACTACTGTATCTAGTCTCACGACGTAAGGTAAATGGTGCATGAAGATATCGTAGCAAAAATGGTAGATTATCATAATTACACAACACTGACTGTTTATCGTGAGAGCGATGGTGTTAATCGTGCCAATAATACACTCAATGTTCTATATTTACGGTGGTTTTATAGATGTTAGATCAATTCAAATAAAGAAGCAAAGTTAGCTAGAGATATTCTGGACAAAAATTACCATGTTGAATACAATAGAATGCACTTGAAACCTTTGAACACTTATCAAAAAACACTTTCCCTTTCAGAATTATGCAATCCGGATTAGAATTACAATGCTTCGCTAATAAGATAAAACCTTCAAATTCGCGAAACTGCGAGGGTATGCGAAAACCTTAAGCTCGCTGGAAATAAAAATTAACCTAGTCAATATTGGATTGATTAAGAGGTTTATCCAGCTATTAATACAGTAATAGCTTTATGGCAGTAAAATTAATGACATTAATTAGATTAGCTTCTATTGATCTTTGCTGAATAATACAGCATATAAAGGCAGTAATTACTTGCCTAGATAAAACATCAGTTTTTGAAGTTAATCTCAAATTTATTGATAATCCCTAAATTTGGATAGATAGGAATCTTGATACATATAAGTAATCGTAGATAGGCTGGATGTAACGGAGGCCTTCTGTTAGGCACTTCGCATGAGTTGTCTTCTTTGATTGGACGAAAATGCTCAAATCTATTTCTTTTTACGCCATTTTGAAATGACTATTTAAGCTATGACACTCGTACATATTTACTTTATTATTATTAAGAAGCTATACAAATGAAATTCTAGTCATTATCTACTAAAAGTGACGTTAAGCTTATTATAGCATTACAGCAGAAAGAGAGATGTTACTTATAACTACAGAACTATAGTTGGGAAGTTACTAACTATATGGATAATCCGAATAGAGTAGTTAAAAATTCTGTATCCTTAGTGCAAACGATTACTTCTTTGTTATATCAGGGAGATTGTACGTAAACGTCCCTTTGTAAAGAGTTTCGCATAATAACCCTGAATGGATTTAGTATATTAGTTTTGCTACCTATTATAATTAAAAGCGTTATAAAAATGCATCTATCGCTTAATAGAAGTAAAAAAGCATCGGAGATTTAAAATTAAATTACTTAAAATTCTGTTAATAGATAGAACGCTACAATAGGCACTGATGATCTTATATTAATTGCCTGCAAGCAAAGATTATTTATAAAGCGTATCCACTTGTCCATTTAATAACAGGGAAGTATCGTTAAACCTTTTCAGAATATGGAATGTACATTGTACATGTTAACAGTAGTTAAATAAGCTTTTAAAGTTTAAGAATAATCATGCCAGAATATCTTTATTGTTCAGATATTTATTGCTAGTATAGCTGATTTCATCGTCATGTTTTAAAATAATCTATAAGTATAACGCTAATTCTAATCAATGAAAGTATATAAAATATAACATATTTATCATTATATGAAATATATGGTAATTATATAATTAGAATGCAAATTAATAAACTTACGATTGTTCTCACCAATAATATAATTTGATGCCGAGAATAATTTTGATTCGCAAATAATTTAATAATATTGGAATCGTGAAATATCAATGCTAGAAATAACGCAACAAACGGCAATTAAGCTAGTGCGTTAACATTCTAATATAGAAAAATTTAAGAGAATTGCATTATGGAAAATAATTATTAATTTAATTTCTATTTATCTACATGACTATACTATCACATGCAACTTTTCCATTATTAATTCTAAGCAACTAGTATAATGAATGCAAAGAAGTTAGGAATTCTTTGTAAGAATATTTATAAAAATGATATTGAGTTGATGTGCTATTGCATATGCATTTTATGGCCCTTGTTAAGGATTACTTATAGTCAATTTGATTCATCAATAAACAATTGTGTATTTTATACTGTATGAGAAGACAATTTTAATTTCAATCGATTGCAATATTTTCAATTCAATTAGTACACAATCTTGGAATATATTTAAAGATATCCTAAAGAACAGCTGCTTAAGGGTGGCATCCATCATTCAGATATTCTAGCTCAAGTCGTAATTTAGCAAAGACAGAGCCAAGTATCTCATTGTTATAGTAGTACGAAATAAGTTGTAAAGATGGAGAGGTTGAGATTAATAAGTGGTACAGCAGTGCTTAAAATTATTAATTGCCAACAGTATGAGAATTAAATTTATGAATCATTAATGCTGAAGCGACGGAGAAGAGGTATCAGAGTGCAAGCTGTTTCATTCTAAATATAATCTTAAATTAGTAGCTAAGCTCTGGTGTTTAATCCAACTGATTACAGTATTGACGCAACAAGCAGCAGTAAAATATTTACATTTGAGAGATTAAAGAAACAACACACTACAATCTCTTGAATGATTTGAGCTAAAGACATTCCTAAAGATTCAAAAGTCGTCTATTCATAAGTATATTCTTGCGCAATGTGCATGTGTCACGGTCATCAAAATAACTTAGATATGTGTGTGTAGTTTATGATAACATTTTGTTTTTAAACTTATTAGAAGTATGAACTACTACTTTAGGAATTGTTATTGTTAGTAATAAACTAAGTTTATTATAATATTATGACGATATAGCAATATGTTACAAATAAGTACCGAGAATATAGGAGTTTGGTATAACTTGCAATCGAAGTAGGCTTACGTGTGAAATTGTCTATTACCCCGAATGTCCGTATTTGATAATTTAATCGTAATAACATGTTGGCTATTGAAATACGTTGATAGCATAGTAAATATGTTATAACGACTGAAAAAGTATATAAGTAGGATTGTGATCAATAAAAAGTGGTTCAGGTTAAGGCGAAGTTGTGTGAGAGTTATATACCGTATACTGTGTTGAGCGAGTTAGTGTGTACTTTGCAAGAATTCCAATCACTATACTGTAGGCTAGGGAAGTAGTTCTGCGGATTGAGGTAAAGTTTATTATAAGTACTGTCTTGTTTTCTTGAGTTGCAAGGGTAGTTGTGGCAGCATGCTTATGAAATATCTTTGGGAAATAACGCAAGCTATAACAGCTACTTCTTTATTTAGTTCTTCATATTATTAGGTATTATTTAAAATTTAGAAATTATAAAACCTTTTTCGCTGAACACATAAAATCTCTAGAAATATTCTTTATTCTATAGACGTTTCTAATTCCACTGCTAGCTTAGTTTACAATTAGTCATGACTAGACCAGACTTTAGCAGCATAGTTCTGCACTAAGCTGATCTAACCAGCAAGAAATAGTTACTCACCTGCCGCATTGCAAAGGAGGAAGATTCTATTTGTAGATTCAATAGCTAGACAATGTTTCATTATTTTCGAATTCTTATTCAATTATATTCGAATTAAGTTCATAAGTTCTTAAATATCACCCATCAATATTAAAATCAATTAGTTTAGCATTATTTTATCGATTTAATATTTATTTCATATATACCAAGAACTTTAGAGTAGATAGACAGATAGAAATTCTCTCAGAAGCATTTTGTTTTTAATATTTTACTGCGTCCATCGTTGGTATTTAGATAAATCTGTGTGTTACAGCAGTAAGTTCTCTTCCTTTAATTAGCATCTAGAAGGTCCATATGTCCTAGGCCATTTTTATTAAATTATTAAGATTTTACTAATAATTTTAAAGCCAGTAGCTGTAAATTAATTTTAAGAGTAAATATAATAATATCTCTATTATATGAAGGTGGAAAATGATAACTGATGGTGCATTTTTTATTTATTGTCGTATTAGAATATACATATATAAACAGCGCCTCGAGGATGCTAGTGATCTTTTTATTGCGTTGAATCGGAGCGGCAATTGCGTACTGTTTTTGCATAATAATGTATACCAAAAGCTTAATATGAATGCCTATGCAAAAGGTATACACGTATATATATAAATCACCAAAAATAGTCCGAAAGAATGAAATTGAAAATCAGTGAGGAGAAGGAGTAAATTGAGATAGAATTACTGAAGTTTAGTTACTGAGGATTAATAGCAATCTTCATATTCTTAAATCTATTTTACATTATGGGTAGATTTTGTTTTACTTCTCTATTAATTCTTCATTTCTAAACTAAGCATCTTCTTTGTTGCTATAAGATTTAATACTAAATTACACATTACGGGTGTAATTTATATTCAATTTAGATGCAAGAATTATAGAAAGAATCCATGAAATAGAAGGTGAATTCTTATTTACAATTCACATTACAATGGAAGGAAGAGAAAACATCCTGCATCATGTCACGGCTAAAATTACAATAAAATGTCATTTAAATCAATTCACTTTTATGACTGAGATGACTGACATGCATCCAGTTAATTGCTTTATAGCAAAATATTAACATTATGAATAATGGAATAATAAATGCATTTTCATTCTATATAAAATTAAATCAAAATATTCATATTTCTTAATAAAT